TGCTTCTTTAAATCAAAATCCTTAATTTATACCATAAGTTTCCTTCCTTATAAAAGAAGAAAGTGCCCTCCATAAGTCAAGCAAAAATTTTGCTAGGAGTCAAGTACAAAAGTTTTTTCTTCAAAGAGGAAAGATGAGATGTAGTTTAAAGAGATACTTCCAGAGAAAGAAGAAAAAGAGTTCAAGTCTAGGATGAATATATGAGGCAGTTTCTTCTCTTGGTGGCTCAACAAGAATGGAAAGCTCTCTCCCGAGAATATGCCGCCACGGGGACTGAGCGCGTGTCTTCCAATCTGATGTGAGAGATGAGGATCTTCAGCCAAAGCCACGAGAACAAAAACCTATTTTCTCAGACACATAAAGTAAGGACAGAAAGTTGTCTTCTAAAGAAGAGATTGCTACCAGTCTATTTACCACTCCTATCCCCCCTGAAAGCAAAACGGAGATCTTTCTAAAAGAAACTAGCAAAGAAAACCAAGGAGATGAGTTGCAAAGTGTTGGAAGGAGGCTCTGTGCCTGCCCAGAAACAGGCTCAGTCTCCTCGCTCTTTCCAAGAGGAGCTGTACGTGAAACAAGAACTTTAGCAACACTGAACCACCTTTTTTTTTTTTCTTCATGTTTTGTACGTTCAAGTATTTTTACACCAGACCAAAAGGGACTGCTATTTTTTGAAGGTTTGACTGAAATCTGCCTACGTTAAAGGAACAGAAGACACTGTAGCCTGGTTTAGCATTACCCATGACAGCTTTAAATAAAATAGGTGCGGTACCACCACCTCACCTGCTGAAGCACCAGCAAAATTCCCTCTCCTCCTTGGTGCATCGCTAAAAGCAGTGCCATGACTAAATGCAGCTTGATGGGCATGCTGCACCTGAAGGACTCTTCTTGAATGCTTGGAGATTTAGTCACCTAGCAGGGGCATCTGATGTGAACCAAGTAAAACCAGCTCACTGGGACACACAGTTACATGCCCAACTGTAAACAACGTGAACCCCTCGTTCTTCACAAAGCACTTTTCCCCCTTCGTTCCAGCAGAGGATTTACCCCCTGCCTGTTTTCAAAATGATCACGAGTTTTGTTTAACTCCTTAGCTGTGTTTCTTACCCAGAGACGTAGATATAAAACGTCTGGGGTTTTGTTTAACTTCTTTGAGCAGGTAAAAACACCATGCCCTCAAGCAGCATGTAACTCAGACTAATAGCCAAATAGCTTTTAGAAAGTGGTTAATCAGAATTACAGGGTACATGAAAATAGTACCAAGTAACATTTAGGCCTGTATTGAACTTGCAGAGATGAAGGAATAAGATGCATCTATCTATGAACACTAATATCATTTACTTCCAGATACTGACTGAAGCTTCCATCTGGACCCTGCTAGGCAATGCGTGAACCGAGAGCCGGCATCCACCCCCTGCAGATGGTCCCAAGCAGAAACGAGCGCTGGGTGAGAGACAGGGATGGAGACTTCCATGGGCGTGCAGCTCCCCGTCATTTCCCAACCACACCATGGGCAAAACCCAAAACACACCGATGAGGCCGGGCACCAGCTGCTGGTGTCCTCCCATGGGTGTTTCTGTAAATGCTCTGCAGCCATCCAAGAGCTCTAATTTCGATCTTCTTTACAGAAGCATCAAGTACCTCGTGAACACCTAGGACCGAGCGGTCAGAAGGTTAGGTCGGAGTCATCTGAGATCATGAGAAATTGATAACGACATTTTGAGACTTCTTTGACAGATCAGCCACCTCACGCGTGCAGACCCATGCAAAGTACCTGGCAACTGCTGCTACAGCCTACCTCCAAAACCAAAACTAAAAGCATTTTCAAGACTGCAGAAAGTCCACAGAAATAATGTAACTGCCCACTCTCCTCTCACACAGCCCAACACTCCGGCTCGTTCACCATTTAGATCTGTATAATTAATTATTGCAGTAGCAGCAAATGTGGCTCCAAGTACTGCTGAATGCCAGAGCTAACTGGAAAATGAAAAACAGGAAAGTACCGGTGAGTGAGATTTCCCACCCAACTGTTGATATTAAAATTTCCCCACCAGCCAGAAAGGCAATAATGGAGATGAATGAGGAAACAAAGATTTTCCATGGATTTTTTTTCCACAATTCATTTTCAAGCCACACAGATATGGTGCCTTTTCAAATTTTAAATTAGAGCCTGAAGACTTAAATTAACCCTTAGGAAGTGCTCTTGATCCAAAACTAACATGGAACACAACTTTAATATTGTTTTGTCTCTTCAGCTTTACAAGCCAAGATGCTTCTAAAGTGAAGTGAAGATGCTTCTAAAGTTCACCCATACAGTTTTTAAGAAATATAAACATTTCACTTCTTTCCTTAAACACCTTTGAGGGTTTCATCAAAAAATGAAAAGCACTTCTTTTTTTTTGCTCAAATGATAAAGTTTTGCTTTCAAAAGGGAATATCATCTGGTTTCCACAGTTTGGTTTTTGACAGTTACCTAAATCTGACAGAAAACTGTCTTTCCCTAAAACTATGTAATTTTTCTAAGTACATGTTCACTAAAAATCCACAACACATTTTGATACAAAATGTTGGCTAAGTACTTGTGATACTCATGGCTCGTTTTGGGGTCTCTGAGCAAAAGCGTCACACGGGCAACTATTCCAGAAAACACATCCACCCCCAATATTCCTTCTCAGGGCTGCCCAGAGTTCTTGACATGGCAATGTGCAACCTATAAAGTAAATATTCAACAAACAGAAAAATCAAAACAGGAAATCTCAACTAAAAAAGACAAAATTATTTTAAGCTACTTGGAAATTTCAACAGGAACATTTCAATTTCCAATACTTTGATTTCTTATGAGCTTTTCTTTGAGGTAAAGGGTTTTTTCTCCTATCTTTTTCACAGCTAGATCCAATCTTCGCTGGCACCTTCAGCTTACCACAGCAGTACTGTCTGCTTGCAAATATTTGATCATTAAGAGATGGAAACACCCAGTGAAAGAGCAGCCTGCATATGAAGGGAAATCTCCTAGGATTTAACCACAGATGGAACCTGAAGCTTGCAATGCTCTAGAAAGACATCATCTGTATTTGAGATATAGTAAGAAGCATCATATGAGGTAAAAAACAAAATTAAACCCATAATAAATCCCAGAAAGAAAATCTGAGAACACACATTAATAGCTAAACTAAATACGATACAAGGAAAAAGACATATTCCAGAAGGAAGTCTCAATGAAATTGAAGAAAAAGCAAAATTTCAAAACAATCTTTCTCAACCCTTCCTGTTCACTCCATGTCGCATCCCACTCCTGAGACTGCTTTTCCTGCCAACATCAGCTTCACACCCATGCCTAAAATTAAGAATTAAGGAGAATCTAATACGTGGATGCTGGGGTGAGAGAGAAGTGCTTTAACGGCATTCAAAAGAAGAGACTTAAATGTTTGGGTTTTTATTAAACAGCTACACTGGGCTGACCGAGGCGATGCTTTCAGCAGCCGTGTGTGCGTGGAGCCCGACCGGAGCGCTGGGACCACGACCTGCCCCGCTCAGCCCCGAGTGCTGCCTGGACCGGTGGTCCTGCTCATTCCTCCCTCCCAACCTCCAGCCAGACCCGTTTCCAGCACTGGATGATTGTAATTTCTTTGCGTGCTGTGCTTATTTGCTGTCATTAAGGTGGCCTGTTCATTTATTGGACTCCAACAAGCTATGAGCGCTTAATTTCTCATTAAGTTATTGTTCATAAAGGATGTACAAATTTGGCATTGGTATGCTATAGCTTGTTAAGCACGTCAGGAAGCAAAGTGCACACGCTAGGTAAGAAAATCCCCTGAAAGGCAGTTGCCCCCCTCCACCAGCCCCATAACCAACCCACAAAATTCGTCACCATTTGGGTCTCTAAATTAACATACATCCTGAGAGTCGGCTGACAGAGAGGGGGTACTTCTGGGGAAACACGAGCCCAATGCTTGTGCCATCATAAGACATCAGGAGACAGGACATCAGGAGACTAAAGAAAACCAATCAAGCTATTTGCTTAACTATATATGTGGCACAAACATATTCGTTTACATGACACTATTTTCATTAGAAGAGTCTCCAAATGTATATTGTAAAGACTTTCTTTAGAGTGTTTAAAACAGGTTTTGAACAGTTTTTCTTAATCTGAAGTGCACACAAAACCCCTGTTGAGGCATGCAGGTCTTCTCGCTTTCCAACGGCTGAGTCCAGTCACATAATTTAGAGAGTCAGGTGCAAAGTTTACCATTAAACTTACAGCAAGAAACTACCCCATGCCAAGCAAAAGCCGTGCTTCACCTGAGTAGCCCACTCACTGACACTGGCGGCTGTGCAAGTCAGAATGGGATTTTATTTTCTTTTAATTCCATTTTGTGCAATTATTGCAGTACAATGCTTTTAATTGTTCCCTCTTTTTCTGTCAGCTCTGATGACCAATTGCATTGCAATCCCAACACGTTGTATTTTTTTCACTGCTCAACATTTCAAGTGCAGTTTTAAAACTGCATATCACAGGAACAGGAAGAGATTGCCATTAAAAACCAAAACCAAAACCAAAACCAAAACCAATATCTTTCTGCAGCAATTAAAGCAAAATAGCAAAAAAAAACATCTACCATCTGTAGTTGTTCCCGTATCAGTTTCAAGGGCAAAAGTACAAGAGATTAAGGGCTGTGCTACGTACTAGATCTTCAGCCTACGCAAGCTGTGGACAAATCTTCCTTCCATATCTAAGCAGGCTGAGTTGTACCTGAGCTTCATCATTCTTAACGAAGTACTGTGACTTTGTTTAACAGTATTTCCATATGCAAGCAGCCCCACCTGACTTCCCTGGCAGCAGCCACAAGGCTTCTGACCATAAATACTCCCAAAAGCTGCCGAATCTCCCCTAACGTACTTTTTAAAACTGGGCTTCCCAAAGAGCTGGTCACTTCTTTGTAACGCCAGGTATTACAAGACATTAATCAAAAGCATATTGAGAACTTCCCAAAAGGTTTACTTACAGTACACGTCCACTCTTATGGACTTTATGGCTGGCGAACCCAAGCCGTTCTCAGCCTTGCAGTAGTAGCGTCCTCCTTGGTGTCGCTGGATGTTGGATATCCTCAGGGTTTCATTGAAGACACTCGAATCTTGAAATCTGTCAGAGGCACTTCCTGCTGTTTTGGTCCACCTGATCTGAGCAAGCACCAAAAAAGATTGTTACTTTAAGTCTGTAATAAGTGAGCAGAGTACAGATCTCTTCACCGCGCTGAGAATCATGTGTGCAGCAGCCAGGATCTTATGTTGGAGGACTTGGGGAACTTCTCCAGACAACTGACTAGCTCACGCTTACAACCAAACACTTCATCCAGGAGTCCCTGGAGTGGAATCTTGCATTTATCACCCTCTCTCAGAAACAGTTGATCACTTTTGATGGAAACACCCCATAAAAAATAAATGCCATGAGCAAAAGATATGGAGACCAACTCAAGCCACCATCAATGACACACAGCTGGAACGGCTACAGAAGAGTTCCCCGTGAACATCAACAAGCAAAGCTCATGAGAACAGGCGGCTGTACTTGTGCACCGAGCACGGATAGTCTTCATTGAAATCATATTTATGAAAGATGAGAGCACATTGGAAAGCACCTTCAAAACAACCGATGGATTATCTTTTAGCAGCAATAAAATCCAATTTTAGGGAGTCAAATGATCAGTTGCTTGAAACTGAAACAAGCTACTAACATCTATTTCTTCAAATCGTTGGTTTGGGTTTTTTAATGTCACTTACGGCAACTACAGATTCCTTTACTCTGCTAGTAATTTTCCAAAAGTGAAGACTTTGTAAAGGGAACTTTTTAATTCCAAACCCATAAAAATGCCAGTAACAACCCACTACAACCAACAACTGCACAGAGGTGGAGAGACACATTGCCAACACCCATGCCTAATGACCCGAGTCCTCGCCTGCATAACTCAGTGGACTAAGCTATCTCCAAAAATGAACCAGACCTCCAGAGATTCCTCCCCAGGTACCTCCTCCTCTTTCAGTTCACACTAATTCAATGACCAGGACAAGCAACATTCAGTTCCAGACCACAACTGTTTTTTTAAATGGTAGGTCTTTCCTGCCTATAGAGGCCACAAGTGGGATACTTGCATAAAGAGGAGGTTATGTCTCTTCTGAGGTTTCTCAAAGCAGTTTCTTCGCAGCCCCATCCACTAATTCTATGCAAGGATGAAGACCAAAAATTCTGTAGTCATTGAAAACGGTAGTCATTGACACGCCTGAGAGCAGAGATGCCATCCAGAGGGACCTAGACAAGCTTCAAAAGCGGGCCTGTGTGAACCTTATGACGTTCAATAACGTCAAGCGTAGAGTCCTGCACCTGGGTTGGTGCAACCCACAGTATCAATACAGACTGGGGGATGAAGGGATGGAGAGCAGCGCTGAGGAGGGCTTGAGGGTACTGGTGGATGAAAAGCTGGACATGAGCTGGCAATGTGTGCTGGCAGCCCAGAAAGCCCCCCGCACCCCGGGCTGCATCCCCAGCAGCGTGGCCAGCAGGGCGAGGGGGGATTGTGCCCCTCTGCTGTGCTCTGCTCTGGGGAGACCCCCCTGCAGTGCTGCCTCCAGCTCGGGGGCCTCAGCACAGGAGAGACATGGACCTGGTGGGAAAAAGGGGAGAGCTCAGAGCCCCTTCCAGTGCCTAAAGGGGCTCCAGGAGAGCTGGGGAGGGACTCTGGATCAGGGGTGGAGAGATAGGACGAGGGGGAACAGTTTTCAACTGAAAGAGAGGAGATTTAGATTAGATATTGGGAAGAATTTTTTTTCCTGTGAGTGTGGTGAGACACTGGAACAGGTTGCCTAGAGAGGTGGTAGATGCCCCATCCCTGGAAACAGGCCTCTGGAGAGGGCTCTGAGCAGCCTGATCTAGTTGAAGATGTCCCTGCTCATGTAACGGATTTTGGACTAGATGATCTTCAAGGTCCCTTCCAACCCAAACCAACATATGCTTCCATGATTCTATGATAAAAAGGAGGTTGACACAAGACAAAATAATAAATATTTGGCTACATTTCCCAAAGATTGTCCAAAGGTAGTCAGCAAAGCCATGATGTAAAGAACAGCATTTAGACGCTGATCTGTTGGGATCTGCTAGGCAGGCTGTCTACAAGCAACCTTGAGCTGGTGTTGGTTTGGTTTTCACAAGGTGTTGCAGCCTCGGCAGCTCAGGCAGAGCACGCCTGGACCGGTGGTGAGTGCCTGTCTCCATGCCCAGCTAAGCCTGAACTGGATGCGTTGTGCTTCCAGCCCTCTCCTGCATAATGGAAGGTCCCATGGCTGAGCCGGGCAGCCCTCGGTGGCCACCAAGGTGGCCCTAAAGGGTTGCCTTGGCTGGAGGGAGATCATTCCCCCAGGGTGCAGAGACACTTGAGTTGCACCATACCCAGCCCTGACCCAGAACTGGGGTCCGGATCCCAGTAACCTGCACAAGAGCACAAGGTTGGCAGGGGTCAGCCTTCCTCTCATTGGGAGCTTCTCCTGGACAGGAGGGGTCTTCTACAAAAAAGCACTGAACTGAAAAATATGTGACCAGCTGTAGCCCATGTAAATTCTCCTCCCTTTGAACCGAGAGCAGGCGTGGGCTTCAGAGGCTGAAATTACAGCAAACAGTACTTGCAAAAAATGTTCATCTCTTTCTGGCTTGTTAAATTCATAAGCCCGACTGGCTTTGCCCTCTTGCCAGGTGACCTGCGTAACTCCACGGTTCCGCTGCTCTAGGAAAAAGCGAATATGCCAAACTCCGTATCTACAACGTTCGGTCTGCATGTGAGAGAGACGCTATTAGCACTGCTATATTTACCAGTCTCAATCTGTCTGTACTTCTATTCTAAACTCTTGGCTCCGGGGCTTTTTAAATCATCCATATAAATGTGCTGCAGGATAATTTTGGAACACACGCTCAGCTTCTGCATGATACAGAACACAATTTCATCATATACACTCCAAATGCTTGAGAAGTACTTTAAAATAGTATTTAAGATATTCACTGAACCTCTTGCCTGTTTTATTTCCCTTTATATAACCAGAATTGCAAAAACAGCTCTGTTTGATTTTTAACTGGGTAAAAATTATCAGTATCTTTGCTTTAGTATTTACTTCTCTCTTCCTCCCTTTCCTCTCCCACAAAAAGTTTCAAGTGGAATGCAGTCTGCCCAGTCAAGAGAACATGTAATTTAAGTAATATGTTATAAGTATTATCAGCATCTATTTGACTGGTAATGTTACGTAACTTACACAAAATAATACAGCAAAATTTAGTTAGATACTGTCAGAGTTTTATCGTTTTTATGAATGCAAAAGCTTTCCCCCGCCCCTGCATCTTAACGCTGATGTATCTATCTTCTCTCTATTATTAGGAATTTTAACAGGATTCTGTTTGGCTGTAAACAGAAGTGGATTTTTCAGCTTTAAAAAAAAATATACGTATATGTATGTTTTAGAGGAAAGAAGAGTAATTTTAACAAATTAAATAATTTTGTAGTGTATGCAGGGATCCCTGAAGAATAAAAGGAATATTGTCTACTAGATTCCCTCTTAAAAAAAATATCGTCCGGGAATGTCACCGGTGTGGTTTAACTTCAGTTCATTATTTACCTTAGCTGCAACTCAACATACACACAAAGCCATGCTGATCAATATTGCATTGCAATTTATTGAAAGCACTGTGAAGAAAGATGACTCTCAAACGCTATGCTAATGCAGTAATCGGAAAAATTGGGCACAGGAAAGCCACGTGTCCGAGGCTGAAAACCTCTTCAGAGAGGTCCTCGGCGGTTTAACCCACTGCAAGCTCCCGTCCATGCTTTGGGGTGACCTCTAATGACTACGAAGAGACTGAGAGGAACAAATCCATCCTTAGAGATGGAGCATCTCACGGCTGTAGCGTCTGAGCCCTCATCACTGCTTAACACGGGGACCTCCGGCGCAACCGCGGCCACAGCACTGGCATTACCCCTTTTTCAAGGTGGGGAGCGGAGGCAAAGGGAGGCTGTGGCCTCACGGGACACTGCGGCAGGTATGGCTTTCAAATCCCGAAGCAGCATCCATGCCTCTTTACGGCAGAGGATTCAGAAAGCCTCTGGATTATTAGCTTTTAAAAACCCCCACCATTAGATGGTATTTTCCAGACACATAGTCCAGACACCAGTATTTTCAAGTAACTTGGCACAAAACAGTCGCTCAGCCAGATGCGTTTTATCAGTGTTTGCTCTTCATAATGTGCTCCTCTCTTTGAAACCTCCCAGTTCCTAGTGCAGAAGTGGCACTGGGCGCTCCGCATGGCTACTCAGACGGGGTGGCAAGTACACAAATTCTGTTCTGCCAAGAAGTCAAAGCCAGTCTTGCTCGTAATGCAAAGTTTTTAATTAAAAAGTGATGTCCACACATCGTGGCGTCCACATATCAGACTAATAAATGTTAATCCATTATGCAGATGTGCACTCAGTGGCTTCTAAGGATGCAATTTTCCAAAGCACTCACTGGCTCTGATGCACATTTGGGAATCCCACCCATGTACTGCCATTGCTCTGCCACCGTATGATTATGGTCTTCAGTTATAAAAACTTTCTTTTCTATTTTCTTTCCTTTTCTTTTTTGCTTGCCAAACATGCACTAGTAAAGTGATTTATCAACTATTCAATTAAAAATTATTCAACTTTTAAAAATTAGGAAGTGATGACCCATCTAGCCATACCGTGACCTACGTACTTGTCCGATTCGTATATGCACATAAATTCTCTAAAGCTCAATATCTTCGACAGTATTTAATGTGCTTAAGGAGATGCCCTGAGACACACAGTCATATGTCACTGCGCAGCTTCAGTTTTCACAGTGAGCTTTCCTGCAACTTCAGTAGGAGTCATAGACTTTACTTTTTTTAATCTGCATTTTTAGCCTAAAAATAACCTGAGAATATTTTGCCTAACTTTTCTCAGCTTCAACAAAGTACTCATGTCCAAAAAGAACGCAGCAAGATAAGAAAAATATTTAATTTTGATGCTATAAAAAAGAAATACTTCTGGTTTAAACATTGTCTTTGTCAAGGACAATAAACATTAAAAATATCTTTGCTCTGAATACAAAACTTTTTTCGTGGTTAAAAACAATAACCAGCACCAACCACCCCC